CTTCTGGGGAATTAGAGAGGAATGTAGGATATGGGATGGAGAATTTAACTCTATCTTAAGGTTGCATCCTTTTTAAAAAAATAATAATAATAATATGAAGCAAGTTTGATACTGTGAAACAGGAAATAACTAGTCCACACAGATAAGCAGTCTGTAACCTAAGGCTTTATTGCTTTCTACTTGGAAGGATTTGAGTTCAAGAATTACATAGACATGGAGCCCTTCCCATTCATAGAAAATTATTAAAGTGTTTGAGTAGGGGGTGACATGGATAGATATCTCTGATGGTTGTCAGGTGGACTTAAGGGCTACAAAATGGGAGGAAGAAGAACCATTGAAGAGACTGTTGCAAAAGTTCAGGTGAAAAACAGTGAATGTGTGAAGTAAGGCAGTGAAAGTAGGAAGACCAGAAGGGAAAGGATTTAAGAAATATCAAAGTTGTCATATTTCTCACAAAATAAAAGGATGTATTCAGCAGGATGAGGTGATGGACATTGGGAGTAACTTCTTTCAGTTCCAGACTCCTATCCAATGTCCTACTGGACTTTTTCACTTAAATGTCAAATGTGCATCTACTCTTAACATTTCCTCTTCCCAAATCTGTTCCCCACCCCAATTTCCTCATTTCAGTAAATTTACCCAGTTGCTCAAGTTAAAAAATTAAGAATCATCCTCAGTTCTTCTCTTACCAGCCACACTCCTACATCAAACCTATCAGCAAAGCCCATGGTTCTACCTCTAAAATAACCCTAGTCTGATCACTTCTCTCAATTTCCACTGCCTCCACCCTTGTCCAAACCACCTCTACCACCCAAAACTCCAAACCAAATGTGCTAACATCATAGATTCCAACTCACAGTGAGCCCCATTGGGTTTCCAAGGCTGTAAATCTTTTTTTTTTTTTTTTCTTGCCATTTTTATTGTGACTTGGGTGAAAGTTTACAGAGCAAATTCATCTTCCATGTAGCAGTTCATACACATTTTATCCCATGACATTGACTGAAGTTCCCCACAGTGTAACAGCTCTCTTTCCACTTCCTCCCCATAGTTACCTCTTCCCTGTGTCCTTTCCTCCCAGGCACTCCTGCCTCCTGAGCTGTCTCCCCGTGCAAACACTGCTGTTCTGTTCTCCCATAATTGATCACTCCAAGTAGTATATCTACCTAATAAAAATGTTCAGCCCATATGCCTATCTTTATTTGGCTGGAAGCCACAGGAGTGAGTTCAATTCCAAACCTGAAGGGGTCTCACTAGGCTCTATCAGACCAGCAAACTTGGTCTTTTTTTTTTTTTTAATGATTGTGAGTTTTGTTCCATACTGTTCTCCCACTGTATCCAGGATCTCCTACATGGATTCCCCTCCAAGTGGTTGACAGTGGTAGCTAGGCACCATCTAGTTCTTCTGGTCTCATGGTCATATAGGCTGAGGATTGCATGGTATACCAGTCCCTTGGACTAACTGTTTCTACGTGTCTGTGGAAATTATCAAACAATATCATTCATATTGTTCAAACAGAACAAGGGGATAATGCATGGTTTAAAATTAGGAAGGGGGTGCATCAGGGTTGTATCCTTTCGCCAGTTATTCAGTTTGTATGCTGAGCAAATACTCTGAGAAGCTGAATTATATGAGAAAGAATGTGGCATGAGGATTGGAGGAAGATTCATTCATTAACAACCTGTGATACGCAGGTGACATAACTTTGCTTGCTGAAAGTGAGGATGACTTGAGGCACTTATTGATGAAGATTGAAGACTACAGTCTGCAGTATGGATTACACCTCAATACAAAGAAAACAAAAATCCTCACAACTGGTCCAATTAACAGCTTCATGATGGATGGAGAAAAGACTGAAGTTGTCAAGGATTTCATATTACTTGGTTCTACAATCAATACCAATGGAAGCAGCAGTTAAGACCTCAGATGACATATTGCAAATCTGCTGCAAAAGACCTCTTTCAAGTGATGAAGAGCAAAGATATCTCCTTAAGACTAAGGTACGCCTAACCCAAGCATGGTATTTTCAATTGCCTCTTATACATGTGAGAGCTGGACAATGAATAAGGAAGACCAAAGAAGAGTTGATGCTTTTGAGTTGTGGTGTTGGAGAAGAATGCTAAGAGTACCATGGACTGTTAAAAGGACTAACAGATCTGTCCTGGAAAAAGTGCCCAGAATGCTCCTTGGAAGTGAGAATGGCCAGACTTCGTCTCACCTACTTTGGTCATGTTGTCGGGAGGAATCATTCCCTGGAGAAGGATATCATGCTTGGTAAAGTGGAGGGTCAATGAAGAAGGGGAATGCCCTCAACAAGATTGACATAATAGCTGCAATGATGTGCTCAGGTATGGCAAGGATCGTGAGGCTGGCACAGGACTGGGCAGTGTTTCGGTCTGCTGTGCATAGGGTCGTTATGAGTTGGGGACAACTCAACAGCACCTAACAACAACAAAAACAACAACATGGGTCTTTGGTTTTCTTCATTCTTCTTTGCTCTGGATGGTACATTGCCCTTCCCTTCACTCAAATCAATACTTGTCTCTATCTATCTAGCAGTGTTCCCTACCCTCTCCTCCCATACCCAGTAACCAACAAAGAAAATTTACTTCCACATATAAACCTTTCCTTGACTTTTTACAATAATGAACTAAAACAATATTTGTCCTTCTGTGGTTGATTTATTTCACTCAGCATAATGTCCTCCAAGTTCATCCACATTATGTGATGTTTTGTAGATTCTACATTATTCTTTAGTGTTGCATACTATTCCATTGTGTGTATGTACCATAGTTTGCTTATCCATTTCTCTGTTGATGGGCACCTAGGTTGTTTTCATGTTTTTGCTATTGTGAACAGTGCTACAACAAACATGAGTGTGCATATATATGTTCTTGTTCCAGCTCTCAGTTCTTTAGAATATATACCTAGTAGCAGGATTGCTGGATCAAATGGTATTTCTAATTCCAACTTTTTAAGGAATTGCCATACTGTTTTCCACAGTGATTGTATCATTTTATAGCCTCACCAGAAGTGTGTGAGAGTCTCAATCTCTCCGCATCCACACCAGCATTTGTTATTTTCTGTCTTGTTGAACTTTACTATTAGTGCTGGAGCAAGATGTATCTCATTGTTGTTTTGATTTGCATCTCTCTAGTGTATGCCTAAGGCACCTGACTGCTAACCAGAAGCCTGGCGGTTCAAACCCACCAGCCACTCCTCAGAAGGAAGGTTGGAAAATTTACTTCTGTAGTGATACCACCTCGGAAACCCAAGGAGGGGTCTCTATGAGTTGGGTCCAACTCGACGGCACATAACAACAACAACAACAATGACTAATGATCATGAGCATTTCTTGGTACGTTTCTTGGCCGCCTGAATATCCTCTTTAGTGAAGTGTCTATTCACGTCTTCTACCCACTTTTAAATTGGATTATTTATCTTTTTGTTGTTAAGTTGTTGGAGTTCTCTGTAAGTTTTAGAGATAAGTCCTTTGTCAGTTACGTTATTGCTGTATATTTTTTTCCCAATCTGTAGGTTCTCTTCTGACTCTTTTGGAGAAGTCTTTTGAAGCACATTAAAACTTAATTCTTAGAAGGTTCCATTCATCTAGTTTATCTTCTGCTGTTTGTGCATTTTGGGTTATGTTTGATAGTCTATTTATGCCTTATATTAGGGCCCCTAAATTTGCCCCCATTTTTCCCTTGAGGAACTCTGTAGTTTTAGGTTTCACATTTAAGTCTTTGATCACTCTGGAGTTAGTTTTTGTGTATGATATGAGGTACAGATCTTGTTTCATTTTTCCACAAACTGATATCCAGTTTTGCCAGCACCATTTGTTAAAAAGACAATCTCTTCCCCATTTCAGGGATTTCGGCCCTTTGTCAAATATCAGCTGACCATAGGTTGATGGATCTATTTCTAGGTTCTCAATTCTATTCCATTGATCTATGTATCTGTCATTAAACCAATACCAGGCAGTTTTTACTACTGTGGCTGTATAGTAGGTTTTGAGATCCGGCAGTGTGAGACCTCCTACTTTGTTTTTCTTCAATAGTACTTTGCTTATCTGAGGTCTCTTCTTTCCATATAAATTAGCGATTGGTTTTTCCATATCCTTAAAGAATCTTGATGGGATCTGGATTGGGATTGCATTGAATGTATAGATTGCGTTGGGTAGTGTTGACATTTTCACAATGTTCAATCTTCCTTCCACGAGCATGGTACGTTCTTCCATTTTTGTAGATCTCTTATGGCTTCCTGAAGTAGTGTTTTATAGTTTTCTGTGTACAGGTCTTTTGTGTCCCTGGTAAGATTTATTCCCAAATATTTCATTTTTTTTTTTGGTAGCTATTGTAAATGGTATTGATTTCCTTATTTCCTTTTCAGCAATCTCTTTGCTGGTATAGAGGAATCTAACTGCTTTTTATATGTTGATCTTGTATCCTGCCACTATGCTAAAACTCTCAATTAGTTCCAGTAGTTCTCTTGCTGAGTCTCTTGGGTTTTCTATGTATAGAATCATATCATCAGCAAATAGGGATATTCCTTCTCCTTTATCAATCTGGATGCCTTTGATTTCCCTTTCTTGACCAAGGCTGCAAATCTTTATGGAAGCAGACTGCCCCATCTTTCTTCCACAGAGCAGCTGGTGGGTTTGAACCAATGACCTTTTGGTTAATAGCCAAATGCCTTAACCACTACACCACCCAAACTCCTAATCTCTACTGCAGGGTTCTCTTAATTATTCTTTTTGTTTACTTTCTTGTTATTGTTGTTGTTACTTGCTGTTATGTTAGTCTTCAACTTAGGACAACCCCAAGCACAATGTGATCATTCCATTGTGATCCATATGGTTTTCACTGGCTGATTTTTCAGAAGTAGATCCCCAGGCCTTCCTTCCTAGTCTGTGATTAGTCTGAAAGCTCCACTGAAGCCTGTTCAGCATCATAGCAACACACAAGCCTCCACTGACATACAGGTGTGGTGGCTGCATATGAGGTGCATTGGCCAGGAATTGAACCTGGGTCTTCTGCATAGAAGGCAAGAATTCTACCAGTGAACCACCACTGCCCCCATTTCTTCTCTTACCCCTCTACAATTCTCTCTCTATGCAGCACCTGAGTAACCTTTTTAAAAAATGAATCCAGACGTGTCACATCTCTGCTGAAAACCCTTCAGTGCTTTCCTTGACACTTTGACACATCTTTACTATGGCCTAAAAGGCCAGGATAGCAGTCACACCAGCCTCTTTCTGTTCCTCAAACAGTTGTAGCAAGCTGGGGGCCTTCCTCTTGTTCTCTGTCCTCGCCTATTGATTCACAAGCTTAAACTTTTCTGTCAAGTTGAATTCTTTTCAGATATGGTCTCCTCTCTCTAACTTTCCTCCTCCATCCTCTTTCCTTACATAATTCTCTTCTAGCATTCACCATAATCTAATTTTTTCCTTATTTGTTTACTTGTTTATTGCCTGTCTGCACCTATGGATATAAGCTGCTGTTGCTAGCTGCTGTTGAGCCCAGGTACAATTAGGACCAGACCACTGTGATCCATAGGGTTTTCCTCAGCTGATTTTCAGAAGCAGATTGCCAGGCCTTTCTTCCTAGTTTGTCTTAGTCTAGAATCACTTCCTAAACCTGTTCAGTATCATGGCAACATGCAAGCCTTCACTGACAGACGAGTAAAGGCTGTGCTTAAAGTGCATTGGCCGGGAATTGAACCTTGGTCTCCTGAATAGAAGGTGAGAATTCTACAACCACTGCCCCTGAATATAAACTACTTAAAAATAAAGTATTTCTTTTTTCGTTTACTACTGAATGCTCAGGGGTGAATACTGTGCCTGTTGTTGCTATGTGCCGTCGAGTCGGACTCAACTCATAGAGATCCCTCCTTGGGTTTCGAGGCAGTATCACTACAGAAGTAGATTGCCCAACCTTCCTTCTAAGGAGTGGCTGGTGGGTTTTAACTGCCAGCCTTCTGGTTAGCAGTCAAGTGCCTTAGGCACTGAACTACCAGGACTAATACTGTGCCTAACACCCAGATTGCTCACTAAACACTTATTGAATAAAGGAATGAATTAGTGAGAGGTAGAAGTCAAAGAGAAGTTGCCAGCAGGAGCCCAAAGATCTTCTCAAGTCCCTGGTGGTACCATTCCTTGAGACAGAAAATGGAAGAGCAGAGGTGTGGGAAGGAGTTTGCCTTGGTGGAGGTGGAGGTGGGAAACATGGTAAGTCTGAGAGAGAGTCAGGCAGTCTTAGTATAGGACATACAGGAATATTTTAAGACTCCAATCCACTAGGTGTAACTTCAAAGACTTATGCCCATTCTTTCTTATCACACTTCTGAAATGCCTCCTAAAATACCTACTTTATAGAGTTTAAAATAATTTTGTAATTAAGTCACTTAGCCTCAAAACCAAACAATGAGGTATGCTAGACAGATAATATTCTCAGCCTATTCATGAGGAAATTGAGCCTCTGAGAGGTTATGTGGCTTGTCTCGGGGCCCCTCCTCCTGGGGACATACAACAGAGTCATGCCATGTCAGGATCCAAGTTGTCCTGATTGCTAGTCTAGTGGTGTACCTATTGATTCGGGAGTCTATTGGTTCTGCTCTGGTAGCATAGTGCCTAAGGCACTTGACTGCTCACCAGAAGGCTGGTGGTTCAAACCCACCAGCCACTCCTCGGAAGGAAGGTTGGGCAATTCTACTTCCGTAGTGATACTGCCTCGGAAACCCAAGGAGGGGTCGCTATGAGTTGGGGGCGACTCGACGGCAAATAACAACAACCAATTGGTTCTACAGTCTGTCTTTCACATATGCTGCTTCTAAAAGTGGTTTAAAGGCATAAAAAGTATGAGTTATACCCTGGTCCACTAGGCAGATGTCTGGTTGTCTCCTGGAGTAGCTGGACACCTCTCACCTTTTATTTTCCACTGAGAGACTGAATATACAAATACACAAGACCACATGTTGATAGAATCCTGACCTTTGCACCGACCAGTCCAGGAAGCCAAACCACAACCTGTGCAGCCATTGGCATAAAATGTTCAGAAGTTGGTCAAGAACTGCCGTCTTCACTACTTTTTGTCCCCCATTCCCCACTTCGAACACAGGACAACAGAAAGCCAAATATGTTCTACAAACGAATCATATAGGATGCCTCAGTTCTAGTTAGCCCTAGACTATATTTCCCACGTAACAAACTCCAATCAGAGCACATCTGAAGCCTTCCCTTTTTCCCTATAAAGTTTTCCCACTGCTTTGAGTCTCCACTGAATGCAAGTCATGGTGGCCAACTCTCTTGCTACACGGAAAGCTCTGAATCAATAGCCTCATCATTTATTTCCACTCTACAGAATGGATAGCAAAAGACAAAGATATTATAAAGCCAAATTACGAAAACAGCATCAGTTATTAAACATTTTAGCACATCTCGTAAACACCCTGTAAAGTACTGAGACCCTAATTCTAGAGTTGAAACAATGGAGAAGGAACCATGAGACGAAGTGGTTTGCACAGAACTAGGATTAGAACCTAAACCCCCCCAGGGTTTGAGGTCGGTTGTTTATCCACTGAGTTCTGGCTGCACTTTGGAATCATTACCATTTTAAAGTATTTTACTCTGGGTTGAGTGAATATTAAGAAGTAGATCACATTTCAGCCTGGCAGGCGCTAAAGTATTGTTTTTAGTTTGTTTTTGTAAGTTTTAGTAGACGACATATGGATTCCATTAACTTTATTATGTAGCACAATTTTGAAGACAGTTTCTTTTCCAAAAAATTTTCACCATAATTTAACATTTTAAAGTGCAGTACACACCATCAATCCTTGATACTTGTTTTTCTCAAAGCTGTATGTTTCTTCCTCTCCACTGCAGGGGGGGAGGAGAGGGAGTCATAAATCCAGTAAGGGGTATGTTCTGTTAATGCAGCTGGGGACAGTTCAGTTTCCAAAGCCATATAAGGGGTGAGGGGAAGGCAAGTGTAATAATAGTACTGGACAAAGGGACAAAGTCCCTCTACTACAGGGACTTCCTTTGTCTTTTTTTTTTTTTTTAAGATAGGGAGCTTTTTATGTTGTCTCCCCAAGTTTACAGATTGCTAATGATGTTGACTGAAGAAGATGGTGAAGAAAATTAATCCTGCCCCATCTTCACGATCGTTGGTATGTTTAACTCCATTGTTGCGGCCGCTGTGTATTTTGAGTTCCTTCCAACCTAGAGGGCTCATCTTCCAGCAGTGTATTGAATAATATTGTGCTGTGATCCATAGAGATTTCCTTGACTAATTTTTGGAAATAGATCACCAGGCCTCTCTTCCTAATCTGTCCTGGACTGGCAGCTCATATCAGACTAGAGAATGACTCGCTGGAAGGCAGGGGTAGGTATGAAAGTGTGACTATCTTTGTAGCTCCATGCCATCTTAAAAATGTGTCTGTCCCTGCTCCTCTCTACCTTGGGGCACACAAAAAGGAGGCTGTGTGGCAGCATGTTCTGGTTCCCTAGTGTCGCTCTGACAAGAACATACCACAAACGGGGTGGCCTTAACAAATAGGAGTTTATTCTTACAATTTGGAGGCTTTAAGTCCAAGTTCAAAGTGCCGGGCTCTAGGGGCTGGGTGAAAAAGCCCCTCAG